TGTCCTCTGAGTCTTTGTAGTGTGGAACCAGGTGGCGGTACAGAGGAGCGGAGGGTGGGGGGGGTTGTCCAGTGGATTGCTGCCGGGGTGCGGGCTGATTCGGCGCGTTCCACATGACTCGCGATGTTGCTATGGCATCCACAGACCTCCCTGTCTCGGAATCAATCTATCTTGAGACTAAAATTTATGAAACTTTAATAAAATTCCTCCCAGCATTAAGTTAGTATATATTTTTATTTAACTCAAAATTCTTCATGTAAAGTTCATCATGGTGCTAAAAAAAATCTTATGTTTGTTTTTCCTGAATGAAATATAAATAATGTGCTCATTATTTTCAAAATTCATGATGCTTGGGTCTATACTAATTATATAAGTTTTATTGAAGCTAGAAAAAGACGTTTAGTTTTGAAAACACCTACTTTTTATTATATGTAAGATTTTCGCCAAGTACAAAATATTAGATGGTAAAACTAAACCTTGTATTATTAAACCACCACAGAATTTAATGTATTTCAGAGTTTCAATAGAGTTATGTTGTATAGTCTTAAATTTTATTTATATGTTTATGTCTGTGATTTTATAAAATTTATAAATATACATGTATATATTATTTATTTTTTACTGCGGTGTTTCTTCTCTTTCCCTTTATTGTTTATCTCTCTGTACTCTCTCTCTTCCTTATCTGCCCCCCCACATACCTTGGTGTATTCATTCATATTTTCTCCATTCTTATATTAATATTCAAATGTACTTACATGAATATATACACATGCATATAAAGGGATTTGGAGCAGCATTATTTTGCTTTACAAATATGGGATCTTAGATGTGTTTTTGCATCTTGCATTTGTTACTGAAACTCAGGGAAATCTCTCTTGTCAACTACTATAGCTTTATTCCAATGTTGATGTAATATTTCTCAGTGTGGATGCATTATCAGTTATTCAGTCACTTCTACTAAGCACTTGATGTTACTTGTTTTGTATCTCTATAACAAAATAGTGAGTAGTTCTGTACACACAAATACATATACACCCATATACATACACACATACAATTACATTCTACTTCTCATATTGCTGGGGAAAGGTTACGTATTTTAATTTTAATAGATGTTCTTAGATTGCTTTCTCAAAAGGCTATAATACAATAATTCACATTTCTACCATCAACTTAGAGATACCCTGTTTTCCACCAGAGTACATATTATTGGGTTCTTAAATTTCTACCCATATCATAGGTTTAAAATCAGATGTTGGTATTATTCGAATTTGCATTTCTTTAGCCTTTAGAGAATATGAGCATCTTTTGTTATTTCTTGGCCATGTGAATATATTCATTTGTGGATTGCCTATTTGTGACCTTTATCTATTTTTCTATCAGGTTGCCTATCCCCTTGTCAATTTATGCATTCTATATAATCTTCATATCAACCTTCTGTTTCTCCGCAGAATTGCAGATATTCTTCCCAAATTTATTCTCTTGATGTTTATTTCATCTTTTGTCTTTTTTGTAGAATCTGGGTTTTCAGTCTTTGTTTAAGATTTCATCCTCCTTTAAGTAGCACTTACAGGTTTTTAAGATTTCTTTTTGTAAGTTTTTATTGTTTGATTTTTAAAATCAAATCTCTTATCTTGCTGGAATTTTTTTGTTTTTGGTTGTAAGATTGTGTCCACTTTTCTCTCAAATGGATATTCAATTTTCCTGCATTATTTAGTAAATCGTTTTCTCATTGAGTTGAAATATTTATGTGTTATTCTAGAAATTTGTGTTTGTTTATATTGATTTTATTACATTGGTATTATAGCACATGTATGCACACACAGGCTGGTTAAAATATGGTTATGAGCTGGGTGAATTTGATGATAGTAATTAAGAATGAATTTGCCTCTCCGTGTTGTCTCTAATCAAAATGGGATTTAATAGAGAGCCATGTTGATAGCCGTCCATAGTCATGTATCCCTTAACAATAGGAATACACTGAGAAATCCATCATTAGGCGATTTATCCTTGTGGGAACATCATCAAGTGTGCTTTACACAAACCGAGGTGACTGTGGCATCATTAGGTGATACAACCTTATAGGACCAGCATCCTGTGTTCATGGACAGAAACATCGTAAGCATACACAACCATATTGATGACTGCTCTTGATACTGCCAGGTTAGGTTTTGTCTTTGTAAAGTACTGAAAAAATAAATATATACCAGTTACTGAGAGCCAGTTGTGTTTAACAGATGAGAAAGTGGACACTTGTTCTAAGTATTAAGTCACTCACCCAATATTACATAACTAATATGTGATAAAGATAGGCATTAAATTAAAGATCTTTCCATTTTGCCAAAGTGAAATTTGATGAAAAGTACTTTAAAACTGAAGGTGTAAACAAATTAATATGGTAATTTTGTCATCATCATAGCATCATCTCTGAGTTTTATTTTAAAATACTGCAATGATTAATGTACAATAAAACTTACAGCTAGTTACTTATAACAATGCAATTCTGTTTGATGAAAAAGGTGATCTTTTTATATACGGAATATGAAAAATATTAGAATGTTTAAAATTTTTTTATTCTTAACAAATCTCAATAACTGATTCTTTCAAACATTTTTTAGAACAGAAGAAAGTTAAAGTTAAAAAGCCAAAACCTGAATTTCCTGTATACACACCTTTAGAAAGTGCATATATCCAGTCTTATGATCATGGAACTTCCATAGAGGAAATTGAGGAGCAAATGGATGATTGGCTAGAAAACAGGAACAGAACACAGAAAAAGCAGGTAAACTTTAAAAACTTGTTCTAACTGAATAAAACACATACCAAAAAGTACATAAAATAAGTCATATGGCTTAGTGTGCTATCATAAAGTGAACCAAGTTAACCCTGTCTAAGGTGGAGAACTAGAACATCTCACCTGTGTATCTTCCTGTTGCTACCTTGCTTTTCTTCCACAAATGATGACTGTCCTGACTTCTAGTGTCAAAGGTAGTTCTGCCACCTTTTCGAAGTTTATAAATGGAATCATCCTATGTGTATTCCTTTGTACCTTATTTCCTGTATTCCATATTATATATATATATATTTTTTTTTGTACCAGGGATCCATATTATATTTTTGAGATTTATCCATGACTGCATGTGCCAGTAGTTTATTTTCATTACTATATAATAGTCTATTTATAAATGTAGCAGTTTATTTCTGTTGCAGAAATGTGGTTCTTCTAGTTTTCAGTCATAATGAATAATTTTTCTGTGAAAATTCTTGTGCATGTCTTTCAGTTCATATATGTGTATATTTGTGTTGTTGGAGTTAAGTTGCAAATTATAACTCAGTTTGAGTAAACATTTCTGAATTTTTTCAAAAAATGTATCAATTTCTACTTCAGCAGCAGGATATGAAAATTCACTTACTGTACATCCTTACCAATAGTCTAGTCTTTTATATTTTAATCTTTTAGGTATACAGTGATAAATAATTATGGTTTAATTTGCATATTCCTTGATGAATAAAATTGAACACCTTATATTTACTGGGCACTGATAGCTTCCTATTTGAGGTGCCTTTCCAAGTTTTTTTGGTCAGATTTCTTGTCCTTCTTTACGTTAGCTTATAAAGAGTTCTGTATGTTTTTTGGAAATGAGTCTTTGGCACATATCTTTTCATTCTGTTTTTCCTTTTCACTCTCTTAATAGTGCATCTTAATAATCAGAAATTACTAATTCATTAATCTTTACCTTTCTCTTATTTAGTGTTTTAATTTATTTTGTTTTGTTTCCTTTTTTGGAAGGAAGTTGTCATTCCTTTAAAGAACTTGCTTTCTACTGCAAAGTCAAAGATATTTTCAAATCTTTCTAGGAGCTTTAATGTTGTCCTTAAACATTTAGATTAACAGTTCTCTGAAATATATTTTTGTGTTTGGCATTAAGTAATGGTCAATCTTTTTTTTCTTAATTTTTTTTTCCAAAAGTTTTCTAAACCAATTGAACCAGTGCCAGTTAATGAAAAGACTGCTTCCTACAGCTCTTCAGCTGCCATCTTCATCTTCGCCAAGTGCTCATAACTGTGTAGGTTCATTTCCAGATGTTCTACTTTGTTCCATGAATCATATTCATTCTTGTGTCAGTACTGAATAGTCTTCAGTACCGTAGCTTTTTAATACTGTATAGCATAGTTATTTTCCATCTTTGTTTTCCTTCTTTTAAGATTGCCACTTTATATTTTTCATATACATTTTAAGAGTAGCTTATAATTTTTCACAAATTATTCAGCTAAAGTATTTAATTTGGGATAACCATGAATATATAAGTGAATCTTGGAAGAATAGACATACAAATATCATTGATTCTAGAACACATGAATAAATCCATTCACTTGTTTTTAAAATGTGTTGCATGTGTACATATTCCACATTGTTTTAGATTTATTCATGAGTATATGGTGTTTTTAGGTGATGTTGTTACAAGTGGTAATGTTTAAGTTTTACTTTCTGATTATGAAGTACAATTGTTTTTTGTATAAAAACCTTGTATCCAGTAGCCTTTCTAAATTTACCTTTTAATTCTAATGGTTTCCTTGTGTGTTATACATTTTTTCTCTTTTGTATAATTAGAATCTCCAGTGCAGTGTAGACTGGATAGAAGTGGTAGTAACAAATATACTTGTTTCATTTCCATTCTCAAAAAATTTTGCTGAAATTTTTATTTCATCATTGGATTTATTTATTAAACTTTCATCATTTCACTATGAGATGTGACATATGCTGTAAGTTTTTTATAACATTTCATTGAAATAATAACATATAAAATTCACCTTTTAAAAATACACACTTCAGTGATTTTGTTTAGTCTGTTTTTGTTCACTGTGTTGTACAAACATCATCGCCAATTCTAGAACATTTTCATCATACACACACAAAAAAATCCCTATACCTTTTAGTAATTAGTTCCAATTCTCTTCTTTCCCCTCCATGGCAACCACTAATCTACTTCCTATCTCTGTAGACTTGTTATTTTGGACCTTTTTTTAATTGGAATCATATAATATGTGGTCTTCTATGTTTGGCTGTTTAAATTTTGGATAATATTTTCAAGATTCATCCATGTTGTGTCATGTAATAGTACTTGATTTATGCTGAATGATATTTCCATTTTATCACATACTATTTATCCATTCATTGGCCAGTGGACATTTGGTTTGATTCTTGGTGGCAGTGATAAAGGTGATGTATAAACCTTTTGACGTTAGCATAGAAGTCTTTGGATATTTGCGGTTTCTCGAAGATTACAATTAACAGCTTATTTCATAACAGTCACATTTGGCTTAATGCCAGCTTGGTTTCAGTAGCATACCCTATCTACTGGGTCTGATCTTGAAACAGGAAGCCAGAGTAAGACTCCAGGATCAGGCTCAGACTGTCAGGAGTCAGTGTCCCCTTCTGAGAGCCCCACATGTCACCTAAGGACTGCCCACTGGCACCCCGTCCTGGTGCCATCAGCAACTACATGCCACACTGAGGATCTGCCTCACAGCACATGGCCCTTAAGGGGATCAGCACACTCAAACCACAAGGCTGCCATCACCCGTTTCCAATAGTTGTTGTACTAGTCTACTCTTGAAAGAATTGTGTGATTCTGGGTTCAGTATTCTATGTCAAGTAAAGTTTTATTAATTATGCTTTTGAATCCTGTAATTAGTTTTTGGTCACTTGTTTAATCAGTTGTAGCAAGACAGGGGTTAAAATTTTCCATTAAGATTGTAGGTGTCAGTTTTTCCTTGTAGTTCAGTTTTTGCTGTTATGTATTTTGAGACTATCAGTTGCATTTGATTTTTAAACATTTATCTTTTCAGTAAATCAAACCTTTTATTATTTATCTCTGATGATGTGAAATCTGATTTATCTCTAGTAATGCTTTTTAGGCTTTTACTTTGTCTATTATTAGTAATGATTCCATCTTGTTTGGTTTATGTTGACATGGTACATATTTTGCCATACTTTATATTTTCTTTCCTTATATACTCAATGTGTCTTATATTACTTTGTAATTTTTAAAAATCTAGCCTGAAGTATTTAAATTTTATTTAAAACTTTAATTCTATTGCTATTTAGTAAAATTACTAACCTTTTGAAGTTGAAACCTGCCACTTTATTATTTGAGTTTTGTTTTTTGGTCTTTTTCCTATGCTGTCTGCTTTTTCACCCTTGCATCTTGACTTCTCTAGGATTGATTGGTGTTTTGTTTTGTTTTGTTTTTGCAGTATTGGTCTTGAACCCAGGGCCTTGAGCATGCTAGCCAAGAGCTCTACCACTGAGCTATACCACCAGCCCTTAATTGATCTTTTTTTTTTTTTTTTTTTTTGGTACCGGGGATTGAACTTGGGCCCTTGCGCTTGCGAGGCAGGCGGCAGAAGCACTGAGCTAAATCCCCGGCCCTGATCAATTTTTAATATACCATCTGTCCTTTATGTTTTCTTAGGGGTTACAGGGGATCGAACTCGGATCCTTGTGCTTGCGAGGCAGGCTGTGGAACCACTGAGCTAAATCCCCGGCCCTGTCCTTTATGTTTTAAGTTCTTTTTTCTCACTTTTATATTCTTCTTTTGAGCTAATTGGCAATATTTTATATTCCATGTTCCCTTTTAATAGTTTTACTATTGACATACAAGTGATAAAATAAAACACATACATTATATATAAAGTGTGCCATATCATGCATTTTGACATATTTATATACCTGTGAAAGAAAAATCAGAACCAAGATATTGACCATAAATATCTTTACCCTAAGTTTCTTTATGTCCCTTTATAATCTGTATTCTCAGTCCTCTGCCTACCTCTAGACAATCACTTATATACTTTCTTTTACTGCAGATTAGTTTCTGTGCTTACATATCATGTATATATGTGAAACCATATTGTATACTCTCCTGTCTGGCTTCTTTAAGCATAATTCTGAAACTTATACATGTTTATTCATGTAGCAATAGCTTGTCCTTTTTAGTGCTAAGTAGTATTCTATTTTTATTTGCTCACCAGTTGAGGACCACTTAGCTTATTTCCAGATGGGGGCTGTCATAAATACGCATGCTGTGAGACTCATGCGTAGGTCTTTGTGTGGTTATATGCTCTCATTTCTCTTGGATAAATCCGTTGTAGTAAAATGACTAGAACATGTGATAAGTATAGTTTAAATATTTAAGAAGCCACCAGACTGTTTTCCAGGTAGCTGTTCATTTTTATATTCCCACAAGAACTGTAGGAGAGTTACAGTTGCTCCCATATCCTGGCCGACACTTGGTATCTTCATTCTCTTTAATGTTAGCCATTCTAGTGGGATATGTGAGATTGTCTCACTAGGATTCTAATATTCAGCTTCTTATTGTTTATATGATGAGCACCTTTTCATGTGTTTCATTTACAATTTGAATATCTTCTTTTAATGAAGTATCTGTTCAGATCTATTGCCCAGTTTATCTTATTGAATTTCAAAGTTCTTAGTGTATTTTAGATACAAATCCTTTGTCCCTGTGTGTTTTGCAAATACTTTCTTCCAATTTATGGTTTACTTTTTATCTTAGCAATAGGTGTCCTTTGAAAGGCAAAAGAAAAAAATTCTTTTGTGGGGAGAATAGTACTGGGAATTGAATTCAGGGCCTTTCCGTTGAGCTATATCCTGCACTTTTTAAAATTTTTATTTCAAGACAGAGTCTCACTAAGTCACTGTACCACCTTTAGTTTCATTGATTTTCGCTATTATTTTTTAGTTTTATATAGAATTGACTT